AAATTTACAATGCCAGAGATCGGACTCCAAAAATGCTTGAGATTGATTCAGAGTCCAGAATACCGCCTATTTTTAATTTAATTCTTTTTTTCTTTTACTTTTGTTGGCATAAGTTTAAGGGTGTGTTGTACGTAGATTAATTCTTAATAAATTTAAACATCAGTACATTGTGAAGAAACTATTTTATTGGAAATTCAATTTATAATTACAAATGGTGTCTCCAACAATATATATAAGACTTTATAGTTTGACAATTTATTTAATTTTTAACGACGTTTTGAGCAGTTTTCTCATTTTCAAGTTAGGAAAACTCCATAATTTCAAAATCTTTCTATTATATCTTATATCTGGTTCACAACAATGTAAATTACCATGTTCCATTTTATTCACATACTTTACAATGCTTGTCAATTGTAACTAAGCACTACCTTCTCTTATTATTGTTTAATATGGGCAATTTATAATAGTGGTAGTAAATATAAAAATACTTCTATAAAATGAAAGTAAAATTTTATCTTCATTGTCTAGAAATAGATTTTTAAAATTCAATTAAAACAAACAATTTATAAAGAAATATAATAATTATAGCTGAATCAAACTAGAACTTATTACAACTTATTCTTCTAGAAGGAATATAGTCTTGATGATAGTGTGAAACTGCACCTCAACTCTCAAATCCCAACTACTCAGTAGAAAAAAAAAGTGTAAAAAATTAAATCTTCATATATAGAGATATATTTTTTTTTTAAATAATAAGTAATGTACTATAAAGTAGAAAATATTAAAAAGTAATTGTGCATGAAGTAAAAATAAAATAATAAGATAACGCAAAATTAAAACTGACCCTATATCATTTTGAACTGGAGCCTTTTCTAAGTCATGCATAACATAAATGAAGTTGGATTATTTTTCAAAATATTTTCAAATAGCCGGAGATCCTCATAAAAGACTGAGAACTTATAATGCTGTAGATATCTTGCAAAAGCCAAAACATTGGCATCATTGTGAAACAATGAATAAAATATAGCTGCTGTTTGAATATAGTTATTCAACTTATGTCAATGGTTAGGTTTTTGCCATATACATATATAAACATATATTGTTTATAATACTTTTACTTAAAATTAAAAAAAAACAGAAAAGAGAAACTTAACCTACTAGAACAAAGTAGTTGTCACAAAACAATAAATGCTGGGCCAAATTACCTCAGTATCTATTGCTTTGAAACTTTTCATTTCGAAATTTATAAACTCCTGAAAACGTGTTTCCCTACAAAATTCAAAACCCTAACAAAATAAAAAAGACAATGTTCCCACAAAAAAAGTGGACCAACTGTCCAAACATTGCAGATTGACGTCTTTGACTGAATTTCGTCATTATTGTCCTTTTATAAAAGCTGAATAGTTGGAAAAAAATTAAACATGAAAAAATATTAAAAAATAATAGGCCTTGGCAATTAAAAACACCAGTAAAGTTGGTTTTTTCAAGTTGTTCTAACTAAAGTTGAAAATAAAGCATTGTTTGTAAATAAACGGCCAACAATAACGAAAAATGCCTTGAAATAACACATCTGGAGAATAAATTCCTCTTTGTCAAACACTGATTACTTCTTAAAATATTTGAAGCGGTTGCATAGAAAATATACTTAATCGGCGGAAAAGCGACACTGGAATAGGCGCATTGAGTCCTCTGCCACATCATTCAGTACTCATAAATGGTATAGTTATTGTGTTATAATAACATTATTTTAGATTTTATTAACGAACTAATTTTAATAAAACAATTTAATTGTCCAAAACAATTTTTGTGAAGAAATCGAAGTCTTGAGATGGTAACAATCCGTATGAACACAAAGGTATGTAATTTGGATAATATCACTAGCGGATCCAGGATTTAATTTTGGGGAGGGCTTCAGCCCGAAACCTTTTTTTTTCATAAAAATAACGATAATTACTTTAGAAAAACAGAAAGAAACTAACTACCTATATGAAATGGTGTTTAAGTTATTCCTTAAGTACTTCTAAATGTAATTACACGAACAATAATACTTTAAGAGGTATTTTTAAAATTTTTTTCCCATAAAACATGGTTATATTTTTCCATTTTGGGGGGGCTTCAGCCCGAAAGCCCCCCCGTAGATCCGCCCGTGGATAATATTAATTATTAAAAATGTATTAGAATAAAGTTCATTTAAAAATAACAAAAAAAAAAAAAAAAACAGTAATCGTGAAGACCAATTTCGTTAAAATAAGTGGAAAACAGTAAAAAGAAAATTATAAGTTTTTTTCGAATTTAATAACATTAATTTCTTTTAAGCGATTTAAATTGTTAAGTTTAGAGAAATATTTTTTCTATTAAAACTATAGTAAATTGTGTGTGATTTAATATTTAATTTAAAAAATTGAGCTACGCCATCTATAAAAACAGATAATTAATTAAAACAAAAAATAATGCGTTTTTTTTAAATTTTTTTTTACTTTACCCATTTTTAAAGCTCAATAAGTCGCTTCCTGTTGGGGTTATAGAAAAATGTTATGTACAAAAATGTAAGATAATTTTAAGCTGTTTAAGATTGAATATAACCATTTTTTTATCTATATCGCTCGAAAAAGGATATATTTACCATATACCAAAAAGAAATTCGAAATTCTAATGGTTTTTGGATCACTACAGCGAACCCACAAGGCTTTGAAAGGTGGAAACTTGGATTTTTTATATTCAGTACATACCTAACAATATTAAAAAAATTGAATTGCCCGACCTTTTGCAAGCTAGACCTCATTTTTGTGCTAATTTGGCTGGACTATTTTTGTGCTATTATTTACTGATTAAAAAAAAAAAAAACTTGGGTGAAAATTAAAGGAGCCGTTTATGAAATATAGACATATAAATGAAAATATTTTTGCGCATCCGCAAGTTAAAGTAATTGATAGAATTTCATCCAGAAAACAAATTGCAGCTCAAGTTCCGTGAGTTCACAGACTCCGAACTGAGGCCCGCAAGTGAAGTAAATAATGAAGGAAAAATTAATTTAAGTAATTAGAAGGAGAAAAAGTTTGTATGAAACCTCACATGGAGACTATTTAAAAGTAAAATTAAAATCGCACATTTGGGAAAAAGCTGCTAAAGAAATCGGTCTGAAAACTGGTAAGCTTATTTATTAATATTTTATTCTTAAAATAAAAAAAGTTATTACTTTCTAGGTATCTAAAAGGTGAATTACAGCAAATGAATAAATTTCTCACCTTAAAAATACAGCAAAATTTTCTTCACATCCGATAGAACTGGACGGATTAAAACCTTCACCAGCACTAGCGGATCCAGAATTTAATTTTGGGGGGGCTTCAGCCCGGAAGATTTTTTTTTCATATATATATATATATATATATATATATATATATATATATCGATACTTTCATTGGAAAAACAGAAAGATTCTAACTACCTACATGGAATGGTGTTTAAGTGATTCTTGAAATCATATTAAATGTAATTAAACGAGCAATAATACTTTAAGACTTAATTTTTTTATTTTTTTTACCATAAAACATGGTTATATTTGACCATTTTGGGAGGGGGGAGGGCTTCAGCCCGAAAGCCCCCCCCGTAAATCCGCCTGTGTTCAGCAGATAGGCAGATCAACACATAGGCGGATCTACGGAGGGGAGGGGGGCTTTCGGGCTGAAGCCTCCCCTCCCCCAAAATGATAAAATATAACCATGTTTTACAGAAAAAAATATTAAAAATTATCTCTTAAAGTATTCTTGTTCGTTTAATTACATTTAATAGCGCTTCAAGAACCACTTAAATACCATTTCATATAGGTAGTTAATTTCTTCCTTTTTTTTTTCAAATTAATTATCGTTATATGTATATGAAAAAAAAAATCTTTCGGGCTGAAGCCCCGCCAAAATTAAATCCTGGATCCGCTAGTGGATCTACAGATAGGATTGGGGAAGGCTTTCGGACTGAAGCCTCCCTAAAATGATAAAATATTACCATGTCTGATGAAAAAAATTATCTCTAAAAGTATTATTGCTCGTGTAATTACATTCAATAGGACTTCAAGAATCATTTAAAAACCATTTCGTATAGTTACATAGTTGCTTTCTTTTTCTTCCAATATAATTTTCGTTATATTAAAAAAAAAAATCTTCCGGGCTGAAGCCCCTCCCAAAATGAAATCCTGGATCCGCTAGTGGCAGATATAGATTTCTAAATGGATTCATGGAATTCTTTTCTCCTTACTCTATAATAAATTTTATATTTATCATCGGAAAATTTTTCATTTCGGACGAATTATCCATGCGTCTTTCTTTTATTCAAGTAATTATTTTTTTATTTTTTTTTTATGGACTAATGAATTAATAATTCCGTCTTCCACATCTTCGGAATCATACTCGGAATATATTAATAAATCGATAAAAAAAAAAATCAAAAAACATGTATGTCGCTTAGATTTGACTGCAGAGAGACACGAAACCAAATTTGTTCATTGAAGTCTAAAACAATGTTAAACAAATTTTAATTGTTATGTAATTGTTTTTATTAGTTATTGCTTTTAAGCGTGAAACCGTCAGGTCATCAACGCCTACGGCTTATCTCAACTACAAGTCAATAAAAAATTTAGACTATATTATCGAGAAAAAAAAGTTATGTAATGTTTAATAGTGAAATGTGAAGGAAATTTTTGATTATGAGTACTATCATTTTTTTTTTTAACCACCCGTACGATAACAAAGCTTGCCCACGGGTTTTGCGGTCTAGTGTTCACGTCAAGATTTCAGTCCCCCCCCCCCCCCATAATGCATTTCTGAGTGAGCGAACCTGGTAATTTTGCCTTAATTGTGACTTTGAACCTTGCCTATCTTGTGCAGCGAGGAAGCAAAACAATTATTATATTTATAACATTTTTGTTCGTCCCAGAAACATTAGACAAAATCGGACCTTTCAAATGTTATCGCAACTCGGGCCAAAGCAATCAGAAATATTTATAATATCAACTCTATAATTAAAATGTATTATCACGGATCGAGAATCATTCATCGAAGGTTATCATTCGCCTTTGATACAGCTTTTTCCTGCTGGTGTACCGCCAGATCGACGATGTACCTCTTACTGTGCGTGACTTTCCTATCCATCGGAGGTACGCTTTCGGAACCACCACTTGCTGTAGTAAAGGAAGGTACTTTGAGAGGGACATATATGAAAACCTTGGGTGGCAAAGAAATCGCTGCATTCCTCGGCGTACCTTACGCTGCCCCACCTGTCAGATTTCAGGTAAATATAATAAAATTTTGAACAGTCTTATATATCATTTCTCAAATATATATGTCACTTTTTCGGCTCTCAGGAGTGATGGGTTTTGACGAATGATGTATCAATAAAAAAGGAATATCACGTAGAGTTTTCCTTAATTTTGATTCCTAATTGTATATCTCGACTTAAAAAATGAATGTAAAACTTTCAAACCATAGTGTGCCATCTCAATGAATCGGAACGTTACATATAAATTCACAATTTCATCGGGACATTTGTCGAGAGGCCAGTATATGATGTGTGAAAGGACAAACAAATGTGAAGGTCGCGAAAAATAAGTTTTTTAATGTACGTAATGATTTTTATTTTCAAAAATTTATGTTAAATACTTTATTTAAAGAGAGAAAAAAACCAGTACCTGCGCTTACTATATAGTAATTTTTACAGATAGACAGGAAAGGGGAAATGATGGCGTACCTTAGGGCACTAGCGGATCCAGGATTTAATTTTGGGGGAGGCTTCAGCCCGAAAGCTTTTTTTTTTCATAAAAATTACGATAATTACTTTGGGAAAAAAGAAAGAAACTAACTATCTATGTGAAATGGTGTTTAAGTGATTCCTTAAGTCCTTTTAAATATAATTACACGAACAATAATACTTTAAGAGATAATTTTTTAATATATTTTACCATATACCATAAAACATGGTTATATTTTACCATTTTGGGAGGGGGCTTCAGCACGAAGGCCCTCCTCCCTCGTAGATCCGCCCATGCTTTAGGGGCAGAGGGGCTAGGGGGGGCGTCTCACAGTGGGATGATTAAGGGAAAACTCGCGACATCGGCTAACAATTTTTTTTTTTTAGAACTCCAAAAACTGGATAAACTGTTTTATTGATGCCCTTTTGGAATTTTTGAGAATATTTTCAGTTGGCAGAATATATATTTTCCACTGTTTTTATTGAATAATTCGATTGAAAATCTTGTTATTTGGTGGAATTTCAAGCAATGTGTAGGTTTTGTAAAATTGCTTGTTTTGAGCTGGTGGTTCATATTTTTTTCTTGAAACTTTTTACTGTCATTCAGCTTAACTAGAAACAAATTAAATAATGTATAAAATTCGTTTCACTTCGAATCTTTTTTCCTTTTTTATTAACAAAAATAGGTGTCTTTAAATCAATTTTTTTACAAAGAAGGCGATTTAAAAAAATCTCCGATGTCCTTCGGAAAATTGTTTTTCTTTTACTTTTTAGGAGTCATTGTTAAATAGAAATTCGTATTAATTTTAACTGCCACGATCCGCCTGAAGGTAATTAACAAATATTTTAAATTATTTTTGAATGTATGAATGTCTGAACAATTTCTAGGCATATGTATAATATCTGCTATAACTGGACATGCTCTCAAATTTAGTTTGATTATTTAGTCAAAAACAAAATAATAATAAAAAAATAGATTAAATATTAAATCTTCGTTATTGTTTTAAAATTTTAATTTTGTCTTCCTAGATAAGAAATATGCATTTAAATTATTCTTTTAACTGTATATAACCATTGTTTATTTTCGCTCTAACCAAAATAAATAAACAAACATAACATCATTAAATTAACTAAAGTTTGAAATTAGATAATTTTGACCCATTGGGTCAATGGGTATCAATATAAGATGGCTTCAAGGAGAAAATAACTTTTATTTACTTCTTCCACTAATATTACTGTCTATTGCTAATAAAATATAATATTTACAGTTTCTAACTCTTCTTATTTTTAAATGCTATTATAATTTCATAAGGGTAAAATTAAATTGAATCTGAGAGTATTTGGTTGAACCTTTATGACGTGATCTGAATCAGTTATTCTTAAGATATTTATGGTAGTTTTAATAACTGCTACGAATTTCATCAAGCATTTATTAAATAAGAAAAATTACTAACAGATAATGTCAAAAAAATAAAAGATAAAAATAGATATAGGTAGAGCCCGAAAGCTAAAAAATATTGCATATCCTCAAAATAAGATTTTAGGAAGGAATTTTATCCCAATAACTTCTTGGATTAAATCAAGAATTCAGATACATAAGAAAATACTTAAAATAAGTTCAATGTTGTTAAAGTTGTTTAATTATGCTTTTTTTTTTTTTTTTTTTTTTTTTTTTTTTTTTTTTTTTTTTTTTTTTTTTTTTTCTTACCCTCCAAAATGTTTATTGAAACAATTACATATATAGTATACAATAATACAATATATACATGCAATAAATTCCTTCCACTGCCCGAGGGCATTTTAAGGATTGGGGATAGCTAAGGGTTACATATGTGGCAGAAGGCCTTGTGACTTTGACATTGAACGGGGAAGGACCGTTCTGCTATTTTTTTATTATTTACAATATATACAAATTAATGAGTTTGGACCGCAGAGACCAGACCACATCCTTCGGCGAGTATTTCCACCAAAGGGAGTTTACCTTGCCACCTCCCTGGTCTGGGTGGTGGTGAGATCTCATTGAACAGTGGGTTTGCACAGGCCTTCAGCCCATCAAAAAATTTGATGTGCCTCCGGCCTATGAACTCAGGTACCGAGGGGAGCTGGAGCTCCTCGCGTATTGTTTGATTCTTAGCCCGTTGTAGGGTGATGCCACGGACAATTCGCCGAAGGATAGAGTTCTGGAAGCCCTGTAGACTCGTAAGCGTTGATTTATATAGGTATCGCAGGAGAGGGGCCCCGTGGAGCAGTGTTGGTCTTATAATAGCTTTATAAATTTGGAGCTTGAGTCTCAGCGAGCAAATTATGCTTCAAAATATTATTAGCTTTTATAACCATAAAGAATTATTTAATTATTTACTAAATCATATGTTTTTGAAGTATTTAATTATATTCTTATTATTTTAGTCTCCTTCTCCGCCAAGAAAGTGGGAAGGGATCCGAAATGCTACTGAACCAAAAAGTGATTGCCTTCATTATACTGAGTTGGGTCTTTATGTTCTTGGGTCTGAAGACTGTTTGTACGCTTACGTTTATGCACCTAAGGTAAGATATACCAAGGATACATCTATTAGTTTAATGCATTTGCGAAAGACAATCATTTAGTTAGCCAATACACTTTTAGTTGTTGAAATTATTTTATTTTGTAAAAGAGGTGTTATTAAAAGTTTCAAAAAAAAAATAAAAAAATAATTTATTGTACATAAAAATATAATTAGTATAAATTTATTTTCTTAGTTTTTTGGTCTGTGAAAATTAAAATCTTCCATGATCATGTTTTGATATTTTCTAGTTATTTAGAGGTACTTCAATCTTGATATTGTAATTTATTTCACCATTAAAATGAGTGACATTTCTAAACATTTCAACAGGATTTCAACGAAACAAAAACTTTAAAAGATGTAATTATATACATTCATGGAGGAGGTTTCAGCTGCATGCTGGGACATTATGGCCCTAGATATATACTGGATCATGATGTGGTTTATGTTTTCTTTACATATAGACTTGGTCCTTTAGGTAACATAATTTTCACAATTAGATAATTTAATTAATAAAATAGGTGTTTTTTAAATTTTGTTTCTGGTTCAAATTGAAAAATGCTTCAGCACTGCACTTTTTGGCCTTAATTTTTTAAGCGAGAATCTGATTTAAAAAACACGGTTCCAAAAATTGTTTAAAATATTAAACTGATTTACTAGGCAAATATTAAGTTCTGAAAGAGTCTGGCACCCGGGACTTTTGTACAAACTCTGCAAATTTCCACCCCCTACATACTTCTTCATTATCCGTTCCTTCCTTGCTAATAGATAATTCAAAGTAAACCAAAATAATGACTGCTCATCCCTCTTTGCTGAATCTGCAGGTATTCCACAAGGTAGTATCCTCGGTCCATCCTCTACACAGTTTATACAGCTGAAATCCCAACCCATCCTGGACCAATCCCTAATCACTTATGCAGATGACACATTTTTGCTATCTGTTAATAATGACCCTTTAATCGCATCCCAAACTCTTCAACCACATATCACAAGCCTTGAAGAATGGTGTAAAAATTGGAGAAAAAATAAATTCCATCAAATCACCTTTACCCTCTGTCGTAAACCTATGATTTTTTGTTCTACAGTATCCTTCAATAATACTCCACTTATTCCTGTTGAGCAAATCCGCTACTTAGGACTCCACTTGGCTAAATGTCTTACTTGGAATCCTTATTCTAGACTGAAATGACTAGAAACTGCTCGACGTTTCCGACTGCTCCAACATTTACTAGACAAATGCTCAAAACTTTCAATTAATTACAAAAGACTTATCTACATAGCTATAATAAGACTTATTTGGACATACGAAGTTGAGCTTTGAGGTCCTACCAAACCATCAAATTCCTATCGTACCCATTCCTTACAATCCAAAATCCTTCATAAAATCCTTAATGCTCCATACTTTGTCACAAATAAAACCATTCATAAAGATCTTAATGTACCATATGTCGCTGATTTAGCCCAAGCCAGATGTCTATTGTTTCATGATAAACTCCAGTACCATCCAAATTCCTTTGTTTTCACCCTTGCTTCTTCCTCGATTCCTGATAATCTTCCTAGGCATCTGAAAAGGAGATGGCCTCGTGATATTCTTACCTAGAATTATTTAGGGATACTACCACTGGGTAGTATCTCTTCAAGCCTGTTTATGTCATTATTTCTAATTTGTGCATATTTACTAGATGTATTTGTATACAGCTGTAAATTTCATTGAATAAACAAAAACAAAAAAAGGTCTGGAAAATTCGCTAGCTTAAATACATTTTTTTTTATAAAAGTATCAGTTGAAACCATGAGAACAATAATAATGAAAACTGTCTATTTATTTCTTTAAATTTGATTCTGATGAAATTATAATATAATTGTAAGGCTCTTCACGAATTATACCTATATATAAATATAAATTGTTTGACCTTAATCATTTTTAACTGATGAAGTCATTTTTGTTTTGAACTTAATCTAAATTCATATTTTTTAGGTTTCCTAAGCACTGGCGATACTGTAATACCTGGGAACTTTGGACTAAAAGATCAAAATATGCTATTGAAATGGGTTTCACACAATATCAAAGCTTTCGGAGGAAATTCAAATAGTGTGACTCTAACTGGTACCTCAGCTGGTGGAGCAAGCGTTCATTACCACATGTTGTCTCCGATGTCGAAAGGTGAAGAATATTTTATATATTTGTTTTAAAATTGAAGAACGAGAATTCCTCTATATCTCACTAATGTTTGTTTGAGGCCAAAATGGGTGGGCGTGTTAGGTAAAGGCTGAGCTAAGTTAGGAGAGCACCTGGTTTGGATCCATCTAGGTTCTATGCCGGTTTTACAAGAACTCTTTTACTAGAACAGAGGAATGAGATCACTTAATTAGTCGTCAGGCTCTAAAAAAGTCTCAGGAAGCTAGTAGATAAATATATTTCCAATCTATCTTGGTTGGTCTTGGATGTTCCTTAGGTACTTTATTAATATTAAATGAAAGATTTCTGTATATTTAAAGATTAATCAATAATAATAATAATAACCAGTTGGCCCGTGCAAATAATTAGCAAAGTGTGTTGGTCGGTATGCAACTTGGAAAAGAATATGGAGATGAGTTGATGGAATGTGTTATGAAATGGGAAAATTAATTTTTTTTTTCTTAATCGGTTACAATGTTTCAATCAATAAGCCAAAATATGTGTAAAAATTACAATAGGATGTATCTTTGTCTCATTTTGTAGGGAATTCATAAACCTTTCAAATAATCATGAGTGCAATCAACCATAAATCGTATCGTTTTTGAGTTATGTATAAATAATATTTATTTTCTTTCATAATATTTTTCCTGAAATTTCCGAGACTGTGTCTATTTTTCCCACCTGAAGGAGAAAGTAATCCTCAAAATTGTAGCCAATCATTGGATCTGATAAAGGATTAACAAGGATATTGCATATCGACAAAAAAGTACTTTTGAGAAGTAATTTATAAAGATAATAATTAAAGAAACTTGATTGTGAACTAGCTTTGTAATGCTTGTAAAAATATAAAGTTGTTCATTTTGAGAATCTAAGTTACAGTCTAACCTAGGTCTTATTCACCGAGCTTTCTCAATGAGCGGAACTGTTCTGGATCCGTGGACAAAAACAGAAAATTTCAAAGAAAGGGCATCGAAGTTGGCGCAGTTGTTAAATTGTCCTAGTGCCAATTCGACCGAATTCCATGACTGTCTCATGAAAAAAGAAGGCCAGGAAATAGTTTCAAAAATGAAGGATTTTCACGTAAGCGCTCTCGTACTTTTTAAATATACTTGTTCAATTAGCATTGTCATGAATATATTGTTAATTATAAATTTGCCTTGATTACTTTTAGACATGGATTTACTATCCCTTTACTGTTTTTGGACCAGTTGTTGAAGTTGAACATCCAGATGCATTTATATCTAAACCACCGATTGAGATAATCAAGAACAAAGAGGCCCAAGAAGTACCTTGGTTTACAACACTAACATCAGAAGAAGGTTTATATCCAGTTGCTGGTATGTGTTATTTTGAAAAAAATATTTAAAATTTCAAGAAATAAAAGCTTGTGCTGTTATTCGTAGCAAAACACTATTTAACACACTTATCAAAACATAGTTGCATTCTAATTAATAACATAACAATTTTTACACTGTTTAATATTTTGATTTATACTAATTGTAAATTTTAATCAAGTTAAATATTTGATTTTTTTTCTTCCAGACTTTATAGCTAATAAGACAGCACTTAAATATTTGGATGATCATTGGAATGAGATTGCTCCAAGTCTATTGGACTATGGGCATTTATTCGAAGAATATGTGTCAAATGAAATAAGCAGGAAGATTAGAAACGAATACTTTGGAAATGGATCAATATTAAAAAATGAAAAAGCTTTAATTGATGTAAGGCATTAATATATTTTAAAACTAGTCAGTAGGATATTATTTCAATAATTCTTACATTTTTTTAATGTCTTATTTCACATTGATTGGGATATGAAATGTATTAATCCACACGACCGTAATTGTAGTCATAATATAGAGTGTGGAAGATTGTAAATATTCCAAGAGCATATTTTCACAAACTTCTTTTAATATTCTTGGTAGTATGTAAATAACGTGACCAGACATCCTGCTCATGGTTGTCTCAGTATCCTCCAGGTTCGCTGTGGGACACATAATAAATGCATTATGTTGGATCATACATTGGAACCTTGATTATCTGTTCCTCGATTTACCATCTTTCCTTGATCGTCATGCTTATAAAAAAATATATAACAACTGATTACTCAATAGTTTATTATTCCATAACTTTTATACCAAAAATATCCGGTATGACCACTCACACTTCTTCTCTAATCGCTTCGGGTGCAAAGCCTATTATAAAAAATTTCTTGTGATATTTTCAGTAATATTGATCTGGTTAAGAATTTTTTGTTTGATTCTCTTAACAAAGATATTGAAATCCTGCAAAATCTCAAATTAAGGGTGTACAATGCTATGATAAAGCCAGTTCTAATATATGTAATATCTAATATATATGAAAATCCTCCGCACGATAACCGGAGCTATCTGGGATTAGAGTACTAACACATGGAGAAGAAAGACCAATAAAGAACTGCTTACAGCAGAAACGTGGTCAATCAATATCCAATGATATGAACGCATGGAGGTTAACATGGACGGGGCATGTAGCTCGTAACAATCCATCTGGAAGCTTCTACATAACAATGAACGCCTCAATAGAAGGCAAAAGACCACGTGAAAGGCCAAAAAGCAGATGAATAGAAAGAATCAACAAAGATGCAATAGAGCTGTGTGCAGATAAATGGAAAGAAATAGCTCAAGACAAGGTGGCAAAAGATTTACATGTACTATAATGCCAACAGAAAAAAAAAATTCTCAACTATATTATTGAAAATTATAATTTTAATTTGAGATATTTTAAAGTATTTCTTCTGGAAAGTAAATACTTCATTGATTGCAAATTTCATTTTATTATCAAAGTAAAATTAGTTGAAACATAGTTTGCAGAATTAAATTAATTTTTGTTACAGGTATGTAGTGATAGACATTTTGTTCTTGGAACAGTAGATGCAGCAAAACTTCATGCAAAATATTACAAATCACCAGTTTACTCTTATTTATTTTCTTACAGAGGAAAAAACAGTGTTTCTGGATATGTTTCCAAGTCCAACAATAATTGGGGTAGTGTACAATAATATTTAACTTACTTTAAACTTTAAGTCAATAATGTTAACTGTTGATGAAAACCAAGAGATGATGGTTGGGGTTACAGTAAAAAATAATTGGAATATTACAGTTTTATAAGCGGTCCTATGGTATCCAAAGCCTTATTTAGCCAAATAGCATGCTTACCAATTAATATGTCCTTAAAAACATAGAGAGTAAAAAGCCAATAATTTTCAGTTACAAGATCATTTTTAATTATGTTTCTTACTTTCCCTTAGTAAGGCTACTTCAAAATCCTACCTGTTGGCTTCCAAAACTTCTTTTTGGTACGAAAACTCAGATTAATTTTCAAAATCTGTATTAGAGTACCCATCGTCTCAGTCCAATTCCGTTTCTGCTGATAACCTCAACGCTCACTTTGTCTCCTGTCCTCTTGCATCCACATCTCCCACGTCCAGTCTGGCTCCTATGTTCTCTTCCTTTAATCCTGATCACTTCTTTATTTCCCATATTACACCAGATGAGCTCCTTAAATCCATTCAGAAGTCCCATACCAATGATTACGGTCCCGACAACATCCCAGTCAGACTGATTAAAGCCGCATTGCCATCCATTCTTCCGATCCTTTATCATATATACAATTATTCTCTTCAAAATGCTACCTTCCCTACATCCTGGAAAACCGCCCTAGTACGCCCATTGAAGAAGACTTCAAACCCATCAGTTCCTAATGATTTCCGACCGATTTCCCTCCTTTCAAACCTCTCAAAACCATTAGAGCGGTTAGTCCAATCCCAGCTATCCCATTTTTTAGAGGACAATAATCTCCTAAATCCCTACCAGTCTGGATTCAGGCCTGGTTATTCTACTCAGTCTGCCCTAATCAAAATTTCCCAAGACCTTCACACAGCCATAGATCAGCAGAAACTAACCATCCTTATTCTCCTAGACTTCTCCAAAGCTTTTGATTCAGTAGACCACAACATCCTCCTAACCAAACTTAAAAATATCTCTTTTTCTTCTAGTTCCCTTAATTGGTTCCAATCCTTCCTAACCGGTCGCTCCCAGTACGTTGTAATTCCTAATAACCCACCATCAGAATCTCTACCTCTGACCAGAGGCGTCCCACAAGGCTCTTCCTTATCCCCCACCCTTTTCTCCATCTATATAAATGACCTCCCATCCTCTATCCTGCACTGTCATTACCACCTGTATGCCGACGACATTCAAATTTACCTCTCCTTTAATCCGACAGATATCTCAGATGCCACTCAAAAACTTCAGGAAGATATTGACAGAATAAGTGCTTGGGCAAACCTCAATAGGCTCACTCTGAACGCCGAGAAGACAAAAGCCATCTTGATCGGATCCCCTTCACTCCTCAAATCCTCCCCAGTATCTCCCAATCTCTTCCTGAACAACTCACCTATCTTATTCTACACCACCGTTAAAAACCTAGGTGTTACTTTCGATCAATCCCTATCCTGGAAACCTCACATCTCCCAAATTTCCCGTCGCACTATCTCCACCCTAAAACAGTTCAATCGTCTACGATATCTCCTTCCATATAAGTCCCGTCAACTCCTAGTTTCCTCCCTTGTTTTCCCCCACTTCGGGGCTGTATGGTGTACGGTGGACTCCCGGGAGATTCCGAGGCCAAACTTAAACGCCTAATGAATTGCGCACTACGATTTGTTTTCGGAATCTCAAGGGATACGCATATTACCCAGTATTACACTGAGTTGAGGTGGCTCTACCCATCCTATCGCCGTCAGTACTTCCTAGCCACCTTTCTGTACCAAATTATTAGAACCCATCGACCCTCCTACATTTTTCACAGCTTACAATTCAAATATTCCATCCAATCCCGTCCCACCAGATCTCGTACTTCCGACCTCTATCCTCCTCCTCACCGAACTGCTGCGTTTGACAAATCCTTTGCAATACAAGCCGCCTCCCTCTGGAATTCCATCCCACCTGATATTCGACACGCTCAATCAGTTTCCTCGTTTAAACCACTCCTCTTTAAGCACCTACTCCTTTCTCAATCCGAATGATTGTGAAATATATCTTAGAGAAATATTTTATTAAGGTTATTTTAGTTTCTCATACATATGTACAATTTACTTGTTCTTTTTTTTCTCTTTTCTGTATTTTTATCGTAAGTCAACTTTCATTGTAAATATACAATTCAATTGTAGCCACACAGACATATAATCTGTATTCATATTTTGTTCTTAAGGGACAACAGTCCCAGAATAATAAAACATTTTTTTCATTTCATTTCATTTCATTTCATATTTCCCAAATCACCTGAAAGCCCTTTTTTCTTCTAAAAGTTATATTCTTAAATATTATCTAATTTTCTGTGATCCCATCAGACTCATCAATTCACAGTTTTCAAATCTAAAAATTGTTCTTAATATTTTCCTTTCAGAAGAGAATATTCTTTAACATGATAATACCAGAAATACATATTGAGTTGTAGATAACAGAATAACTTATATTTTCTAGGGGTTTGCCATGCAGATGACACTGGTTATATGTTTCATAATGAAATGATTAATACTGAAGAAATTGCAAATGACCGGAAGATGATTGCAGTGATGACTAGAGTGCTTGTAAACTTTGCTAAAAACGGGTTTGTAAACAATTGATTCATTTTATACTTTAATTGTTCCATTTTTTTTCATTCATATTTTACTGGACTAATTTATAATTTCATTTTTTTTTTTTTTTTTTTTTTTTTTTTTTTTTTTTTTTTTTTTTTTTTTTTTTAGAGCACCTCAAATGGATGATAATTTGCTCTGGCCAGAGGTCGACGATGTGGAAGATACTTTTACCTACGTAAATATCAAAAATCATACTTATAATATTTTGGAGAGAAATTCTTTACTTGGTCGACCCAATTTTTGGGATCTTCTCGGTTTTAAAAAAAAAGAGATATAGTAAAAAGATTTACTATTTAAAAAAAAAATTAACCAGCAAGTTTGAAAAATATTTTGAAATTTAAAACAAATTGTATTTATTGTTTTGAATTTAAACCTCATGATTTTTTTTTATTACTATCAATAAATTTTTTAAAATTAAAATGGTTATGTACATTTTATTGTGTTAGTTGTTTCTTAGAAAAAAATAAAAATCCTATTTCCTTCGCTCATTACTAAATGTTTGGGCTCATGTTGAGATGAGTTCTACATAAAAAAATATCTTGCTATATTTTAATTCATTATGTAATTCTGACTGATTATACCAGTTTAGATCGACTTGTATTTTAAATTATAATAAAAAAATATATATAGATCAAAAAAAAAATTGTATACTATGCTCATACATATTGTTAATACTATATAATTGTATATTAGTTTTGGAAAATTGTCTGTAGCGATTAATAAGTGTGCTGTGTTTAAAGCAACCCAATGTAATTGGGCAGCACCCTTTTATGATAATAAAGTGATTCTCTCTCTCTGAATTTATAATGAGTATACTTGCAACTTGAATTTTTATTGAAAAATTGTAAAATACACTTGACTACATAAAAACCATTGATAAAGTAATCTTTAGCAGCTTTGATTTCAGTTTACAGAGCTCCAATGTTTCATAAAAATTTAAATTCAATATAGAAGTTGCCTAGCAAACTACTACAAGATACATATATGTGTGAATAACTATAGCAGCTGATTTTCATAAATAAGATTAAATAAGCTTCTCCTTATTCTTTGCTTACTTGTTGTTATCAGAGAATATCAAAAAGGTTTTGTATTGAAATTTGACAAATCATTGCCGAACATCATTGTCTACAAGTATTTCAAAATTTATGATTCCCAAAAATGTTTGAGGACCATATAAAATGAAACCATACTTCATTTTAAGATTAAGTCTTTCAGGTCATTGACCCTTAAACAAATAAAAAGCTTTCACTGAAGGAAGAAGTATTAGAGTAGGTCGTTTTATTTTGTATTGCATACTCATATATCTTTCATTAATTTATTCTTTATTCAAAGATTTTTTTTTATATTACAAATTTCATACTTATTGTGATTATTAAAATTGTGTTGCTGAGTTTTATATCCAGTAACATAAACATTGGCTGTTATAATGATAATGAAGCCAGGAAAATAAATAAAATCAATAATCACAATTGATTGGTACATATAAAAGTTAATATTTATTCCTGAACATAAACAAAAAATTGAGATCAACACTGTGGGTGTGGTAAATTCACCGCTTCTGTTTCGTATCAGAAATGAAATTTATGAAATGGTCCAAATTTCATGTTTGAGGTATTAAATGTTGGTTATAATCATGAGATGTTAAAACCGCACACTAGCAGATCCAGGATTTAATTTTGGGGAGGGCTTCAGCCCGAAATTTTTTTTTTTTATAAAAATAACGATAATTACTTTGGAAAAAAAGAAAGAAACTAACTACCTATATGAAATGGTGTTTATGTGATTCCTAAAGTCCTTTTAAATGTAATTACACGAACAATAGTACTTCAAGAGATAATTTTTAAATATTTTTTTCCATAAAACATGGTTATATTTTACCATTTTGAGAGGGGGGGGAGAGGGGCTTCAGCCCCAAAGCCCCCCTCCGTAAATCCGCCCGTGCCGTAAATCCGCCTGATGGCTATATTTCTGACAATACAATTAACCTTCTGGATGAAATTTAGAAATGATCCTTATGCCAAGAAGAATAATTCATGTAAACTATTGAACCAAAACTGCAGACACAACACTCATACATACTTTCATAATCTTATTATTAAATATAAAACTGTAGTTGGACCACTCAATACAGAATGGAAATTATTATGAATACCATAAGTTGTGTACAGAACTTTTAGATAAGTTATTACTAGCAATTCAAGACTAAAAAACTTTATTAGAAACTATTATTACTAACAATAGTGAAATGTGTTAATTTTCACTTCTTCTTCATTATTATTTCTATTAATATTGGAGTGTAAAATTTATTAGCATTTGCAACATGAATATAGAAATTGTTAGTTAGCGAACAGAAGTTGTAATAGAAGAGATAGGGATGGTTAAATGTATATGTATTAATGTTTTACTTAAAAAACTCTATGGTTGATATAATAGATATTTGGATTCAGCCAGGTCCTGATTTATTATTTCTTATCAGCTATTGGCTATGGGCAAATAATCTGGAGCCACACTTTCTTTTTTCATTACCCCCCAAATATTACAAAAACTTACTAATTCAAACTTATTTATTATCAGTTTTAAATTTACCCTCACAATAAAATACACACTACATACATTTTTACTTTTGATGTAGTTGTATAGTGAAGGCATAAAACCTGTTGGATATCAACACTGTTAATTAAGATTATATATAATTATATCTTATGGTTGTGAATAATAGGAATAAAATTAAACTAAAAAGACACAAAATGTAAGATAAGTTTAAAGTTATTAATTATTTTAAAGATAATTAAAATGAATACTAAAGTATAGCTATTTAAAGTTAGCACATTAATTTTTAAAAAAAGAGAGGGGGTTGCTGCGTGAGAGATTCAGAGATTTTTAAAGATCCCTTCTTCAGAAAGAAAACATATGATTTGACTCAGGATTTTTTCAACATTTCCCGAAGCAGTTGATGTATTTGTTTGTATTCCTCTTTTGTTATTCTCTGATGTAAAACGCACAACTCAACCCTAAAAAATTTGGACCACTGTCATTCTCTCTCCACACTTCCGACAAATATTTTCTTTTGTAATTAAGTGAAGGTGTCTAAGCCTGGTATGACCTATTCTTAGTCGTGTAAAGACAACTTCCTCTCTGCGATCGGTCATCAATGCCATTAATTAAAATTATATATTATTATATCTTCTGGTAGTGAATAATAGGAATAAAATAAAAAAAAAAAAAAAAAAAAAAAACGTAAAATGCACCTTAAGGTTAAAGTTATTTATGGTTATTGAACTTTAGGTATATAAAGTTATCACGTTAAGCAAAAAAAGTAAAAGGAAAAACAGAAAAGAGGTGGAGAGTGCTGCATGGGAGGCTCAGAGATTTTTTAAAGATTCGTTCTTCGGAGAGAAAACATATGATTCGCTCAAGATTTTTTCATCATTTCCCAAAGCAGTCGATGTATTTGCTGGTATTAATTCTCTGATGTAAAATGTACAACTCTCGAAGATATGAACCACTGTCATTCTACCTCCACACTTCTGACAAATAAGCCAGTTTTCTTTTGTAGTTAAGTGAAGGTATGACTTATGCATTTGATGTTATAACAGGTCATTAAATCGGGATTTTAATTTTTTAATTTAATATGTTTCAATTTTCCATCTTTATAGAGGAATTAACTATTACCGCTGGTGGATTCATCAGTCCATATTTTTTTTGCTAATTTATCTCTGATAAATACTTAAACAATCATCTGTTCTCTTTTTAAATTATAATACTTGAACTTCAGTTATTAAATGTAAATATGTCAAAAAAAATATAAAATTTATATTTATTCTTTATAGCATTATTGGTCCTATAATTAGCATAGCAATAATGTTTCTAAGAACAAAAACAGATAGCCTCCTTCCAAAATTAAATCCTAGCTGGAACTGACTGTTACACTTACATTTTTGCTGATGTATGTATCTGTGTTATTCTAGTTAATTTGTTCATGTCCCATGGTATAATCTGTTTTCATTAATTTTTGACACGAAGCAGACCAATTATATTTAGGAAAGGGGGCGTTACATAGATAAGGAGATGTAAAACATGCCTTCATTCAACCAATCATTGATTACTTCTCTTCTTCAACTATCCATTATCAATAATTTTGTTTGCTCACTTCTGTAAACATGTAAATAGTATCAGCATAACGTCTTGATATTAGAATTTTCACATTTAATAGGATAAAAGTTTGAGTTTTTCAAAACATAAAAAATGACGGCGTTGCAACTGTCGACGATCACTTTGGCATTGACATCATTCACATAAGAGCATAATTAACAGTTACTGAAAATTGTTTTTAAACGACAGAAACTTTACCTAGTGATAATGATGGCTTATATTTTGTGTTATATCTATTAAGTAAATAGAAACTTGTAACATAATAAGCGATGTTTCAACCGAAACTCATAATAGTTTTCTAATAGACATACGAAACGTTCTTTGCATCTTAAAAGTAGATGGAAGAAAGATATTTCTTTTTCATTTTATAATATTAAACAACAGTTTGTTCTCTCTAACATTATTTTATCTAATATTATCGAAATATAAAATTTCACTCGAAGTTTGTCGTCCTCTAAATTTTGCCGCTTAGTTGCGTTTAGACATTTCACAAACCATGGTACAAACAAATATATAAATGGTTATTTCACTATGATGATATTTTTGTTTCTTGTTTTTGATATTTTCCATCTACTGTCGGTATCAAGAGTAATAAAATTAATAGTTTATTTTAGCAATAATATCACTGTTATTTAAGTTAGATAATGATTTCCCTCATAGTTTGTGAAATATCTAAACACAACTTTAGGGCATTTTGGTCACTAAGTATTGCGAAATAATTCTTTTTCTAATCCTAATTTAAAACATTTTTCAAATATTCGGGAAGGAGCAGTTTGTGTTAATATCTAGATATAGTTGGAAATCATATTTCTAGTCCGTGGTACAGAACCCTTTTTATCGAATAATTAACTTCGTAGATAGCATCTTCTCATCGTAACGTACGTATATTTTATTTACGAAAATTCTCGAAATCGGGTCTTTTTCAATCTGGAGGTCGTCAAACTTTGTCTATTTAATCAGGTACAAAAAACTCGTAAATACCCACTTCTTTCCACTTGAATCGTAAGATAACTTGAGCATAAAGTCAAGAAAAAAGGTGGCCTTCAAAAATATTGAGCCATTTGGCGTGACCTACACTCCAAAATTGTCAAAATAACGAGGTTATATAGGCCAAACGGCTCAATATTTTTGAATGCCACCTTTTTTTCTTCACTTTGTGCTCAAGTTATCGATTCAAGTGGAAACCAAACGGGTACTTCGGAGTTTTTTCGGAGCGGAAAACGCCCTCATTCCGAGAATTTTCGTAAATAAAATATTTGTAGGTTATGATGAGATGAAGCTATTTACGAAGTTTCAGCCAGGTGTTAAAGATTTGATACATACTTCTGTTGGTTCGATTTTAAACATTTACTAATCATTGACTTTCTATATTGTTTCTTCTTTTGGAATAATGACAAAACTAAATTAAAATTAGAAATGGTCCTTAGGGCTGTACTATAAATATTAATGATGCGTTGTTTGTTTCTTTATTTGGATTATCG